AGGTGGTCTCCAAGACACAACAGATAAATGGCCGCCAACGAACGAAAGTGATCCAGCTGGTTAAAACAAAGCCGACGAAAATCAATAATCCAGACCCTAAGTTAAACATTATCTCATATAGATATCCTAGCAACGAAATAAAAGTAGTTCCAGAATAATAATGAAGATGGAATCGTTCACCGTAATGGGGTAAATTGGAGTTATTCAAGAAGTCATGAAATATTAAATTCCTGAAGTATTGAAATATTTCACGGGTCTGAGACCAAGTCTATTGATCCCGGTTCTTGGTTATTGTCTGGAAAGGTGGTGAGAGCACGGCACATTAGAGCGGGGCGCTGAGATGGGATTCAGATGAGGGGAGGGGATGCAGTATCTGCTTGCAGTGCAGAGCTATTCATATCTGGATAGTATATACATTTCTACATGCACGTGCATGAAAGACAAACTTGGGAGCGTGCTTACTGTATTGATCGATCTGTGAAAATCCTTCCTGTAAAGCCCAAACAATCCACCTTGATTCCACTTTATGTGAATTTCACGTTTCATTTACCTAACACCATTCGCCTCATACATACATAGACATTTGACGCTCCACCTCCTTTGTATATTTACACATCGATCCCACTATTTTACTTCGTTTATTTTTCTGCTTCATTCGTACCCTATTCGTTTTAATCGCGACCTGACCGCTCACATTTGACTCGTTCGAGTGCAGCGTGACGGTGAGCGTGCTATTAATATCCAGACTCCGTTCGGATCTGTTGAATTACGCTCACGGTGGCACTTGGCTCTTGTTTTCAAGTCGTTCCGAGATCACTTTGAGGTTTGTACAGATTTTATTTTCTTATTTGACCGTTTATTAATGCAGTACCGTAGAAACTTGCTGGATCGTTCGTTTTATTGACGTTTTGGGATCCGATTTCAGCTACGCGTTACTCAATGATCTATTTTGGAGGCATACTTACAAATACAAAAGACATTTATTACGCACAGCTTTTAAAACGGTTTCCTTTGTTTTCTTTTCGTTTCTCTTGCATACAAAAAATCTGACCAATACAATTGGGATAAAAGTATTCAAAAGCGAAATTGCGATGAGCGAAGATGTCGCTGCACATGTCGAAAGGGAGCGACTAATGGAAATTATTGTGTGATGAATTCCAAGGAGGATGTCGAGCTTTAATTTGAACATGCTCTTTAAAGTGGTGTGAACAACCTCGTGCCGGAGGCTGTTCCATGAATTGAAAACTTTATGGGTGAAGAAGCAATGATGGAATCAGGTACAGGGCCGAGACGTATGTAGATTTTTTTCATGTCCATGAAGCTATAGCTGCAGCGGGAAAATCTGGCTGGCACGGTCCCTAGAAAGAAAATGTTTGGTCTGATGCGGCATTCATAAGTCAATAAGTCACCTGCATGGAACCTACGTCCCAAGCAAAAACCCGTCGTTCCAGGTGAAAAATAAACCCTTCCTCTCATTCACTTCTACAAACCAGCGACAATATGCTGAGCGTCAGAGCGACTGTCGCCCCGCAAACGCAAAAGTTCGGTCAAGACATTAATAGGACGTCAATCACGCTAGACAGGGGATATGAACTACACTTACTTTTCCTGCCTCTGAAGCTGGGTTTTCGTGAGGCGGCGCTGAGGCCCGACATGTTATAGAGCTCTGGATTTACTTCCTGATTGGCTTCCTCCAAGATGTCAATGAGATCGCGAGCTTGCTTCATATTCTTGGATGTAAAGAAGGTAAATGCCGTGCCCTTTTTGTCACTTCTCGCTGTTCGGCCGATACGATGAATGTAATCTTCTGTTTGATTGGGAAAATCTACATTGATAACATACTGGATGTCATCAATGTCTGAATAAAAGCAAAAAATGGTGGTTACCAGTGACTTTCGTTAAGAACACGTTAGATAAGAGAATATGCCAAATCTTATACTTACCGAGTCCACGCGATGCAACGTCAGTGGCCACGAGTACGTTAATTCTTCCATCTCTAAAACCTTCGCTAATTGGGTATTTAATTCGTTTCACACTTACTGCTCAAAGTCATTTCTCGATCTCTTTGTTGCTTGTCACCGTGCATAGCTCCAACAGCAAATCCTCGACGTCGGAGGGTGTAGGTTATCTGATCGGTCTTCCGTTTGGTTTCTACGAACACTAGGCAGCGAGATCTGCCGAACATTGTAAGCAACTCAATTAGCCGTTGCTCTTTGTTCCATTCATCTACGACCTCCACAATTTGAGTTATATTCGGGTTCGCGTGAAGGGCAACTGAACCGATGTTGACTTGTATGTAATTTTTGAGGAAGTCGCGCGCCAGCGTTTGCACTTCACGGGGCCAAGTGGCGGACCACATTAACGTTTGTCGGTCGGGTCGGATGTGTGCTACTATCTTCCGGATCTGAGGTTCAAAACCCATATCTAGCATGCGATCGGCTTCGTCAAGCACCAGGTAGGTGACGCGACCCATCAAGTTTCTGAAAGGGAAGTAGAAGAATCAAAGGAAACTCACCTTTCCGAACGAATGAAGTCGATTAACCGCCCGGGTGTAGCAATGCAGATTTCTGCACCTCTTTGAAGTTCGCGAATTTGAGGTCCACGCGGAGAACCACCGTAAAAGCACATGGTGCGCATGCCTGCGGCCGAAGTAAATTCCTGGGCAACTGCGAGCACCTGTTGAGCTAATTCCCGGGTAGGAACCAACACTAGGCAGATGGGACCATCTCCACGAAGAAGACGGGGCTGAGCAGCTATGTGAACCATAGCTGGGATAATAAAAGATGCTGTCTTTCCTGAGCCAGTTTGTGCGATTCCCACAACATCTCGCCCTGCCATAGCCATTGGAAGGCCCTGAGCTTGGATGGGAGTTGGACTCTGCCAGCCATTTCGCATGATTACATTAGTTACGTAGTCGGGGAGGGCAAGCTCCTCGAAAGACAAAACTGGCCGCGGAATGTTGGTTCCGGACAGAGTCATTTTATGCAACATGCGGAAGGCTGTAACCTCCGACTCAGGACGAGATGCGGACATAGGATGCTCTTGATAAAAGCACTTTTGGAACTTTGGTAGCTCTTCCAAATTCCACTTTGGTGCCGTAAACTCGAGGTTCATGTCAAATTTGTCCTTTTTACCTCCACTTTTGGACCACCTTAAGTTAAACTATTCAGACTTAAGAAGAGACTAACCTTCTCATTGGAGAACGCGATCTGGGACGCGAATTCATTGTGTAACGGGACATTTCTGTGAAGGTGGTCTCCAAGACACAACAGATAAATGGCCGCCAACGAACGAAAGTGATCCAGCTGGTTAAAACAAAGCCGACGAAAATCAATAATCCAGACCCTAAGTTAAACATTATCTCATATAGATATCCTAGCAACGAAATAAAAGTAGTTCCAGAATAATAATGAAGATGGAATCGTTCACCGTAATGGGGTAAATTGGAGTTATTCAAGAAGTCATGAAATATTAAATTCCTGAAGTATTGAAATATTTCACGGGTCTGAGACCAAGTCTATTGATCCCGGTTCTTGGTTATTGTCTGGAAAGGTGGTGAGAGCACGGCACATTAGAGCGGGGCGCTGAGATGGGATTCAGATGAGGGGAGGGGATGCAGTATCTGCTTGCAGTGCAGAGCTATTCATATCTGGATAGTATATACATTTCTACATGCACGTGCATGAAAGACAAACTTGGGAGCGTGCTTACTGTATTGATCGATCTGTGAAAATCCTTCCTGTAAAGCCCAAACAATCCACCTTGATTCCACTTTATGTGAATTTCACGTTTCATTTACCTAACACCATTCGCCTCATACATACATAGACATTTGACGCTCCACCTCCTTTGTATATTTACACATCGATCCCACTATTTTACTTCGTTTATTTTTCTGCTTCATTCGTACCCTATTCGTTTTAATCGCGACCTGACCGCTCACATTTGACTCGTTCGAGTGCAGCGTGACGGTGAGCGTGCTATTAATATCCAGACTCCGTTCGGATCTGTTGAATTACGCTCACGGTGGCACTTGGCTCTTGTTTTCAAGTCGTTCCGAGATCACTTTGAGGTTTGTACAGATTTTATTTTCTTATTTGACCGTTTATTAATGCAGTACCGTAGAAACTTGCTGGATCGTTCGTTTTATTGACGTTTTGGGATCCGATTTCAGCTACGCGTTACTCAATGATCTATTTTGGAGGCATACTTACAAATACAAAAGACATTTATTACGCACAGCTTTTAAAACGGTTTCCTTTGTTTTCTTTTCGTTTCTCTTGCATACAAAAAATCTGACCAATACAATTGGGATAAAAGTATTCAAAAGCGAAATTGCGATGAGCGAAGATGTCGCTGCACATGTCGAAAGGGAGCGACTAATGGAAATTATTGTGTGATGAATTCCAAGGAGGATGTCGAGCTTTAATTTGAACATGCTCTTTAAAGTGGTGTGAACAACCTCGTGCCGGAGGCTGTTCCATGAATTGAAAACTTTATGGGTGAAGAAGCAATGATGGAATCAGGTACAGGGCCGAGACGTATGTAGATTTTTTTCATGTCCATGAAGCTATAGCTGCAGCGGGAAAATCTGGCTGGCACGGTCCCTAGAAAGAAAATGTTTGGTCTGATGCGGCATTCATAAGTCAATAAGTCACCTGCATGGAACCTACGTCCCAAGCAAAAACCCGTCGTTCCAGGTGAAAAATAAACCCTTCCTCTCATTCACTTCTACAAACCAGCGACAATATGCTGAGCGTCAGAGCGACTGTCGCCCCGCAAACGCAAAAGTTCGGTCAAGACATTAATAGGACGTCAATCACGCTAGACAGGGGATATGAACTACACTTACTTTTCCTGCCTCTGAAGCTGGGTTTTCGTGAGGCGGCGCTGAGGCCCGACATGTTATAGAGCTCTGGATTTACTTCCTGATTGGCTTCCTCCAAGATGTCAATGAGATCGCGAGCTTGCTTCATATTCTTGGATGTAAAGAAGGTAAATGCCGTGCCCTTTTTGTCACTTCTCGCTGTTCGGCCGATACGATGAATGTAATCTTCTGTTTGATTGGGAAAATCTACATTGATAACATACTGGATGTCATCAATGTCTGAATAAAAGCAAAAAATGGTGGTTACCAGTGACTTTCGTTAAGAACACGTTAGATAAG